GGCTCTTGCCCTTGCAGGGTGGGGCCTGGCTTTCCCCACAGCAGCTCCTTCTCCTCAGGGACCAGCTCTGCTCTTCCCAAGCTGGTCCTGCAATCCAGCAGCCAGGCTTCTGGGGTCAGGGTGCCCAGCATCCCAATAGTACCCATCTAGGAAATGGGCAGAGTCCTACTACATTTGTCTGCCTTCAGAGAAGGCACTGTTTTTTATTTATGTCTGTAAAACATGCCTGAGTGGCTCTGATCCTGGCTGAGGCCTCCAGGCAAAGCTGTAGTACAAATAATAGCCTGGAATCTCTTCTGGGTAAGGTATTTCCTCAGTGTAGGCAAGGAATTAAATTAATAACACCCAATTTCCCATTATGCTGAAATTAAGGAAAGTTACTCTGTGGGAAATGTGGAGCTCATTGGTTCGAGTACATTTTCCTTTTTGGAAAGTCTCTTAAAGGGAGTTTTTTTTATTTTCCTTTATCATTACAGGCCAACTCTTCCACGAGCTATGTCAGCTGGATATTGAGTAAGGACTCGTGTTTTCCTATATTTTAAGCAGCTTTCCAAAGCAGGTCTTCATATTATTTTTCTTTTTTATTTAATATCTTTTCTTAGCATATTGTTTAGAAACCCAGAATAATAAAAACCTGGTTATCCTATTGCACTCTCTACTTTTTAAGTCTGACTTCACTAGCCAATGTAGATTGATAAGTGTTTAGCCCCCACTGTGTTACCTGTGATAGTTTTGTAAGATAAAAAAATCCAAAACCAAACCAATTTTGCTTCCATATTGCGCAGTTAGTAGAAAACAAAGCTTATAGGCATTTTCCTAAATATCACATAACAGATTAGCAAGGTCCATTTCCTATAACTACACCTAACATTCTCTTTGAAAGGGAGGACAGATTAAAACATATTGTCTGAAAGAACAGAAATATCTGGCAAATGTAAGTTATACAGGCTGATTGAAGATATGGCAAGCATCTTTCCTTGGACACATCCACTAGCACCAGGTAGACCAGTCGAAGTGAAGATTCAAAGATGATTTGGAAGACAACCTCTTCTTTTTTGCCAGTTTATATAGAACCTGTCCCAGCAATTTCTTGTTATAAATAAACTAACAATGCACGTTCAGGGGACCTGCAACACAAGGCAAATAAAGATACTCTAGCACATTCCAGTGCTAGGTACACTCATATTTGAACTTTAAAGGAATCTTTTTCATAATGTAATCAGTGAAGAAGTAATTTCCCTCAGAAATGTATATTATATTCAGGAAAGGAGAATGGCAGCTTTTAAAGATATCACCATCATCACTTTCCCAACTGAGAGGAAGAAGAATATGTGAGTCTGGCTTTTGCGGAGACAACATTCTCCATCTTCTTTTCTGGGCCAGCAGATATCACGAACTTCTGAATGCCTGTGGTCAGAGAAGAAGCTATATTGCTTCTGACTGACCAGACTATGAAGCATCATGAGGTATTTCAAGAAGTATGTATCTGAGTATAGCATAAGCTTTCCGGGATATTTGAAAAAAGCTTATGAACGAGCATTTATGAAGTTAAATAATTGATTTAGCTGGTACTCTGAATTTATCACACTTTCTGACATGCCATCCAGCTACCCCGTGACATTTAACCTGCAAATATAATGGAAATAAAAGGCAAGATTATATGCTTTCAAAACGAGTCTGAGTTTTGCTTCTGTCTTTAAAAAATTTAAGATCAGATGTGTTTAAGTTTTAGAGTCCTGTGCTGGTATATTATAATAAAAACACTTTAAATATAAGTTTCTATGGTGCTTTTTCATCCGTTATTTTGGCAATCTCTTCCTCTTAATAGTTACCATTATTGTTGACAAAACGGGCCTAAATAATAAACTAGGTCATGATTCTGTGTCTACCAAAGTCAATGCAAAACATTTCTGTTGTCAGGTATCCGAAGATACATGGAACTATCTTGAATGCCTCATTTTATATCCAGATATAGAATGTTAACATGGACAGATAAATTAAACTGAAGAGGATTTGAGCTTATATTTTTTGTAACAGAATTTTTAGCAAAACAATAGATAAAATTATTAACTACTTGGTGTTTTAGAAAGATTTTTTTATTATTATTACTTCAGCAAAGCAATAGCTATAAAACTAAATTACTGGTATGGAATAAAACCAGCAAGTGGCAGTATTTGACAAAAATCTGAGTGGCAAGTAAGAAACTTTTAAAAGCAAATGGAGATTTTCACTATATCTAACTATAAGGTAAGCACTTCTAGCATTCAGAAAGACAGATATCTCATCTCTACCGTAAATACCTAATATTTTTGTTAGGTCAACTCCTCAACTAGAGAAATTAGACAAGACAAATTTCCCATGCATATTTATATGCAGGGTCAACAAAAATGACCCTACACATTCTATAAAAATTCTTCTATGAAAACTGGCTAAGAATAGAAAGAAGTATCAAAACCATCCAGAAGTCTTATTTATCAGAAACCTTCCCTGCCACCAATTTAGAATAGCATGTAATGAATATTAAAATCATAGAATCGTTTAAGTTGGAAAAGAACCTTAAGATCATTGGGTCCAACCATAAACCTAACACCTCATACTCTATTGGATTACACAAGGTATGAAAAAAGTGTAACATCAGTGACTTATTAGGCATTAATAATATGCTAACCAAGAGCCTGGAGGTTACATGTAGCTTAAAGTAAATGTCCAGAATGCTATATAGCATGTTAAGGCTAAATTGCCTAATTTGAGATAAAATATCTATGCACTTTTAATCTCATTCTCATAATTATATATGTATAGCACAGATACTTTGAATGCATAGTACCATAATCTAGCAAGTCCCCAAACACTAAAAACTTTTCAGAACAATTTTAATTTCCTATAGAAAACATAAACAATTTTGACTATGCACTTTATTTTTAAAAAGAATCATCATAAAGCACCAAAATGCCACAAAATAAACTGTCATCTCATTTTCCTAAATGATACAAATATCCCAATTTAGTGATATTTCTGTATTGCTGTGCTTAATTACCTAACCTCAGGTGTTCTGCTGCTTTTAGTAAGGGTGCTGCAGGATGACAGATTTACATCCACCAAGATGCTCTAATGTGAGTGGCATTTCTGGGACAAAAACTTACTTGTACCGACACTTGCACTTTGTAGGTCAAAAGTGCCTGAGCTTTTCCTGGGCCAGGAAACAAAATTAATTTTCAGATTAAGACAAGCATGTATCCCAACACTGATTACAAATGCAGAGGAGGTGATACACAAAGCAGATGCCTGCTGAACTGACACGGAGGTGAACATTTTAACCTGCTTCTTCTGTAAAAAATCTCTTCTTATTCAGACTGGTATCCTCTACTGTAAAACATCTGATGTGTATGTATATAATTTTCTGAGCAACTTAGTGTGTTGAAATAGCAGATTAAGCCCAGCTCTGCAACAGTATTTAGAAATGTACCCAATTTAGAAATGTGTCTAAATGGTGAGTCTTATATGAGTCTCTGACTACCCTAGAAACTCAGTAATCATACTACTGGTGGCACGGCAGTAAGCCTCCCCTATCTCCAGACACAGACTGAGTCTGCAGGCTCCCAGTTAGCCAGCCTCCAGCTCACTGGGAGGTCTAGCATGTTTTAAAGGATTCAGGACTCCTTAGAACAAGAAAACACTTCTATGCTTCCATTGGCTAACTCCTTTTTAAGATATAGCAGTCATGTCTCACTTGAGAGAAGACAGACATAGTGACTCAGGGAAAACATAGTCAAATAGTACTTCTGCAGAAAGAAAGTTACAGAGAATGACTCATCTCATCTTATTTTGATTCTGGGCCCATCAGTGATTTCCAGAACTCATAGAACACTCCCAGGCTCCAATTTCCTATGAGGTGTTTGACTTGGTGGTTAAAAAAAAAAAAAAAAAAAAAAAAAAAAAAAAAAAGTTCCCTGGCTCATGTGTTAAAAGTAAATTTTCATAGTGAGATTCAGAGTAAGAATTACTATAGTTTTATGCAAAAATGTCCTCTACATTGTTCCTTGGAGAAAAAGGCATGCAGGTAACTCTGCAGAAGTGCCATGGCTTATTTCTAGGGTGGAACTGGGGATCCTGTCACCCATCATTTGTAAGAGAATGTGTTGTTACACTTAATAGGTTGGTTGTGATTGTGATCACCGTTAGTGTCGTTATAGAAACGACACTCCAATGTTTTCACCTGGAACGTCAAAGCGTGGAGAGGGTTGGAGAAAAGCTGTCTACCTACTGTGGACAGGACATCGCATAACAACGACAACATATTTAGGGTAACGTTAGAAATCTCCAAGGTGATCTAGTTTTGTGTTCTCGTTTTGAGAAGATGTTGAGATCGTGGGAGCTAAGGCTGCGACCATTATCCTTGTAAATACAGTTACATCCTGCTGGTCCTTTTACACCTCCTTGCCTGTGTACACACCCACCCAAACCCACCAGCTGGATGCAATTCCGGGCAAATCCGACAGACTTTCCTGTTTCAGCAGTAAAAGCTGCAGCACCAAGAAGGGGTAGTGCCAGGGTTGCGTATGTCTTTCAGACCGGGGCAGAAACGGGAGTTGGTTCGTTGAACTTGCTTCTTCCCATAAGGGTTTCTCTTTCCCTTCTCTTGTTTTCCCTCACCTCTCCTCTCTCTTTTCTGTTCTCCTTCCCCTTCCTTTTCCCTTCTCCACTGCTCTCACTTCCCTTCCTTTTCTCCTCCTTCTCTCCTCTCCCGAGGTGCACGCGGCCGTCCCCACTCAGGGGGTACCTTCGCACCCCCCCACCCCACCCCACCCACCGCTTCCCGGGGCCGGTGGCGAGGGCCGGGGAGCAGCCGCGGGCCGGGCCCGCCGGCCGGGCGCCCCCGGCCCCGGGACGCGGTGGGTGCGCGGGGCGGCGCGGAGCCCCCGCGGCGGGGCGGCCGCCCAGCCCGCCGCCGGCCGGGGCGGGCCCACCGCCGTCCCCTCCTCCAGCCTGCGCGGGGGGACGGGATCGCCCCGCCGCCGACCAGAGCGGCAACCGCGGCCGGGGAGCGGAGCGGGCGCGACGCGGACCTGCCGGAGCCCCTTTCTTCTTCCTCCACCTCCTCCTCCTCCTCGCAGCCCCGCGGCATGGCCCGGCGCGAAGCGGCGGCCGCCCCCGGCCTCTGCCTCTTGCTCCTGCTGCTGCTCCGCAGCGGGGGGCTCCCCCCCCCCGCCGCCGCGCAGCTCCCGCCGCCGCAGCAGCGCGGGAGCGTGTGGTGCCCCAGCCGCTGCCTCTGCTTCCGCACCACGGTGCGCTGCATGCATCTGATGCTGGAGACCGTCCCCGCCGTGTCCCCCCAGACCACCATCCTGTGAGTAGCCGGGGGCGAGCGGCGGCCCGGCGGGCAGGGAGAGGGGCGGAGGGAGGGCCGAGGAGGAGGAGGAGGGGATACCTGGGGTGGGAGGCACTTTGGGTGGCGGCGGAGCCTCAGCCCTTTGTCTGCGGACGGCGGAGGGGGGGTTGGACCCGCGGCAGGGGCTCTGCCCCTGCCCCCCTCCTCCCCCCCCCCCCCCCCCCCCCCCCCGAAGTTGCTGGCGAGGATCCTCAGTGAGCGGCGGCGGGGCGGCCCGGGTCTGCCCTGGGCTCGGCTCGGCGGGGCTGGTCTCACCGGGTGGGGGGGTGCCCCGGCGCGCCCCTGCCCGGTTTTGGCAGCGCTGGGGGCCGGCGGGGCCTGACCGGTGCCCCTGGTTTGGCGGGGACGCTCAGAGGTGGATATTCTGGTTAACCTGCGGGGACTGTGTCTCCCGTGGAATCGTCCCTAGAAGGATTTTGCTGCTGCCTTAGCACCCCGCTGGAAAGCGCAGTTGCTGGCAGAGGAGCGGCAGGGCCGTGTGTAGCCGCTCTTTGCTCGGCTCTGGGACACGCTGGGGATGTGTGAGCAAACCGGGACCCAGACCCTGGCCTCACCGAAGCCCAGCCCGGCTCACGTCCCTGCAAAGGACCGAGAACATGCGAATTTATGGGTCTTTGTCCTATTTTTTAATTCAGGCATTGACGTGTCAGTTGAAGTGCCCGGCCATTCTTCTGTAGGGTCCAGTCACTGTTTTGAGTAGGATTTTGTTGGTAATAAAATTCAGTATTGATAAGGATTAAAATTTATTTCGTTCATATTGATTTTACTGAAACGGTTACCTTTCCAGCCATATTTGACTCTAATAACTGCAAAGATCTAAATGAACATCACAGGCTATTTTGTTTCAAGGTTTACTGCAAGGAAAGGATTTGTTCCACTGACCCGCTTCTATGTTACTCGGGCTCAGAAAGCTCTTGGCACCAGCCCTGTTCTTCCCTTACACACCCGCAGCCGTGGAAGCTGAGCAAAGCTTGGCCCTGGGAATTTTCTTCAGGGCCTCCTGTAATAAATTGACTTGTGACTTTGTCAGATATTTTCAAAAGGGATCTATAAAGCCTTGGTGTGTTTCAGCTTCCAAGTATTATTTAATGTGAAGAGTGCAGTTATTTAACATTAACTGAGTCCCTCTCTGGCAAGAAGCGCAGCCTTTTGGCAGGATGGGATTAGTCCTGCAGTACTTGTAAACCTTTTAGGGAACAATACAGGAAGTGGGTGGTTAATGTTTCTTACATTTGAAACAAAGTACATTTACAGAACACCTTTTGCCTTGACATTACAGGAAACTCTGTAAAGCTAGTTTTGTGAATCGTCTTAAAAAAAAAAAAAATTAGAATATGGAGTCAAGTCTTAGTGGCTTGGTTTCATGTTAAAGGTAGAAAGGCCTGCGACAGCAAAAAGTATTAGATTAAACCTAGCCTGGGTGGAGCTCCCCTTATGGTGGGTATTTATAATCTCGCAGTGAGTCAGAGGAGAATGTGTGAACAATGCAAGCATTATACTCGTCTAACCCCACTAATATATCAAATTGTCTAATATCCCAAATTTGAATTATCATGACAGTATAATGCAAGCAACAATGAAGCAGAAATAATGTAAAAGAAGTTTAAAAACATTTTTTCAGCTTGCCAATCAACGATGATGAAAAAAATATGCCTGCAGATGACCGGCATTCTTCAAAACATAACTTTAACATAACATCTTCCTTGTCATCTGGTAATGTGTATTCTCCTTTTTCACCAACTGACAAGGAGACTCATAAATAAAATAATTAATACTACACCTGTACCTGTAAATGCACAATTACTCCTTCTGCTACACTGCTGAATGGCTGTGAATGGGGAGGAGATGGGCCAGGAGACAGTCAGGCAATATGAATCTCCAGGACAAAGAACAATGCTACAATTTATTTAGTAATCAGTAGCTTGAAAGTACCAATTATACACAGATACCTTACCTATTGTATATTAATTGTTTGCCTTTAGCTGTAGGATGTACTTTCAGAACAATTATTACATGTCTGAGATACTCACTGAATTATCAGAGGGTTTATCACTCCTTTCTTACTCTATGACCTTGTAGAACTGCAGGTCTACACAGCAGTGTTATGCTTCATGGAGGTAGCCCATGACCCACAGAGGGCTTTCTACACTCACAAATTGTTTCTCTTTTAAGCATGAAAATAAAGAGTTATTTCATCTCTGGTTTGACTCTCACAGTTCATCTTTCATGTAGAACCTGCATATTAAATGTATTTTCTTTAGTAGTAGTGTTGATAGCTAGATAATTAGAAACAATGAATTTAGAAATAATGAATTAATTTCAGTTGAATGCCTTCCCCTTTAAAACATGGATTTATGAAATCCTGCAAAGTGTGTTGCTGATGGGTTAAGCCCATTTTTACTAGCATTGGTAAATTCCGCATTCTTGTGTGTTTTATTTCTTCCTTAAGGACAGGATTGACTGTGCAAAGTAATTTTGTAAAAAAACATCACCGTAAGTTTTTCCTCCTTTATAAGTATATAGTTACAATGTTTTTTTTGCTGAGCACTGGTTCTGAAAACTGTCCCATTTTGGAAGCTGAGTTGACTTTGCTCTATTTCACATATAATTTGTTACATGGATTAAAACAGCATGGGGCCCAGACCAACAGTGCAGCCAAATGTTTTTACCCACCTATCAAAAATGTCTACTCCTAATCTTGGGCTCTCTTTTGAAAACTGTTCATAACGTTACTAGTTGCTGACCTTGCCAGTGCTACTTCTGGCTGTACATTTTCTCACTCTCTCCTGCTTCCCCCACTTTCTGGCACTTCCCCCTTCCCTGCTCTAGGCTGGGATCCATGCCTTAGATTTCTTCTGCAGGGTGGATTCTGCCAACTTCAAAAGTGCTCGTGGGGCCTTGTGTGAGCACGTGGTTTCACCCACGATGAGATTATTGCCCAGGTTCTTTGTAGGACCAGGGCCTGCATCCCAGTCAGCAGGTCCTGGGCTGACTTCCCTTAAGAATAGAGACCCACCACCAAAGTGGTTTGCAAAACCACTTCATGGCTTAAGTATGGTCCTGGAAGCTTCCTTTCTTCTCTGACTAAATATAGAGTGCTCATGTATTCACAGTAATTGCTGAGATGTATTTATACTAAACCATTTAAATAGTTGAGGAGGGTAAAATTCTGGATACAGTACTATTGCTGTCCTCTCTTCCTTGAATTATATCATATTGTACATTTATTTGGGGGATTTCTGCATTTTACAGCCACTTCTAGTTCATAGTTTTTGTAATTCTGACACGGGTCTTTTGAATATCAATGCAATATGTTACTATTTGTATCTTGCCTAAACATGACCAAAATCCAAACCTGTCTACAGGACTAGTTATGCATACTCAGACCAATACTAAAATTGTTCAAAGTTTTTCTTGGCAGCACCTAGATGCTGTCTGATTTTTTGCTAGATGTACAAGCATAATTGCATTCACTGCTGTTGGGTCTCAAAGTCTGAACAAAAATAGAAACTAATGTTCTGTTGTAAGTAGAAAAGGTAAAGCTTGACAAAAAGTAATTGCCATAAAAGAAAGTGGACTTCATTTGCATTAAGAATGATGTGCAAATTATTGGTAAAAAAAATTATTTTTATATAAGTCACTCAATATTTCCTATGGATAATTGTTACTCTGGCTCTCCTGCATGTCTGTTATAAATAAAATTCCTTTTCAATATACAAGTATAATTTTAAGTGGTCAGACCATATTTGACCATCAGACCAACTTGAACTGCAGTCATTCCAGGTGAGTAACTTTTAAAGGTAGTCACTGAAATGAAATTGAAGGCAATAGTCTCAGTGTTGCTTGTTACTGCTTTTGTTTACATGATTCCAACATATTCTACAAATTGGATAGTTTACAGTGCATACCTATTTATTTATTTTCATTTCTGGTTTGTAGTGTAAATGTCAAGGACATATCCAAAGTGAAAGAGAGAAGCGTCAATTTTCTATGGTGACTTTCTAGACAGGTGTATAAGAAGTGCTTACGTTTTTTTCACAGCTCCATGAGAATTTTTGTGGAATCTGATGTACACTCCCGGTGCCAGTGAAAAACATGACTGATACTTTTCAAGAGCATCTATCTTGATACAATAAAAACAGAACAAAACAAAACAACCCCCCCCCCCCCCAAAAACTGAATTGCACAAATCTGTTTGAAGTGTACATGAATTACGAAGGAGATAGGGGTAATGGAAACATAATAACATTTTGCATTTTAGTATTGATTTGTGGTAACTCTATGCCTCTTAAAACAGAAGCATTTACAGAAAAGAAATGGGTGATACGTATGAATTCTGTCAGTGCAGGAGTCTTTGGGCTATCGTAGTAGAAGGATGCATGCTATTTGCAGATCTGTTTGCAAATGATGCATTATCAGTCAGTAAATTTCTGATTCTCATCTGAAAAAAACAGGATCCTTGCTTCCGATCAGATCTTTGAAATTCTTTTAGAAAACTTCCAGTAGATGAAGCAATTAAGACAGGAAATAAATACACTTCAGCACTGTGAAGGACAAAGGATTGTAGTCTCAAATCTGGACCGTGAGTAAGCTTGATTACTGCTGAGCATCAGTTAACATATAGGACATAGTTGAGAGATATGACACTGGTATAAGATTTTAGTTAAGACACAGAGATTTATGTATATTTAGTGTTCAAAAAAGAAGAACAGATACTGAAGGTTTACTTGAAATATTTGATAATAACTGAATACAGACACAGATCTTGACAGACTCATGGCTGGGCAGAAAATGGCATTAGATGCCAATGATGGTTTTCTAGAATTACACAAAGCATGGGGAAAGTATAAGATTATTTCAATAAAAATTAGCTTAGGTCTTCCTTCATGGAAAATTATGACCTAGTGCAGAATTCAATTTCTGATTAAAACACCTAGATTTAGGTCTCTACACATGGG